ATTGATATTTGAATACTTAAGAATTCCCTAAATGAATGTATATGAATTCCTTAAAATATACCACAACTGGGTAAAGGGTGTTTTGGGGGGTTTCATTTACAACAACTGTATTTCCAGGTATTATCTGATCAAGTTTTGGAAAAACCTACCAAACTGAAATAAAACTTATTATTAGGGAGTTACATAAATAGTTTGCATATGAAAGAAATTTCTCAAAAAACAATTAGCAGGAGACTGATAATGAAGGAAGAGAATTTAAATGACCAACACAGTTTCTCTTCTGAAGAGCTATTTCTCAGAAGTGATGCATCTTAGTTAAGAACACAGCCAAAATTATAAAATCAGAAGCCTCCAGAAAAGGATAAAAATTGATTCTATATCAACAATTCAAAAACAGAGTCACTCTATACACTATCTATAAAAATATTAAGCTTCTTGTCAACAAAGATACTAACGAGTATAACTATGTCTAGTTGAACAGATTATATTCTCTTGAGGAGAAGACACTAAAAATAGTCACAATTTTGGAGCACTTTCTTGAATGGTATCAAAAAAGGGAAAATAAAAATAAGACGTCAATTTACCTTAGCTTGGAGATTCTGAATATGTTCTGATACAACAAAATATAGACATATACTGGAAGAACCGGTCCTTGGATTGACAGAAAATCTGTCACCCACAGAATGAATCAATTTCAGCATGCAGGTGACTTTAAGAGGACAGATGAAAAGCCATCTTAAAAAAGTGATGGATAGAGGTTTGCATTGAACATTACACTCTGATTTGTGTAAAAACAGTTGTTTTATTTTTGTCTTTCTAAAGAAATTTGCCATTGGCAACACCTTTATGTGGATATTTCGAGAGTCTACCAGCCTGACTGAATTACTTATGGGGTGTAAAATATTTTGTCTTATTCCACATGGCATTATGACTCACAAATAATATTAGCCATACCCAGCTAATATGAGATATGACTGGAATGTTTCCAATTTTAAAAATATTACACAGAGGCAAAGAACAAGTTTAACTTCACCATTCAAGTCTAACAAATGGAAGGGTTATTTTCCACGGTGTCTTCAAATTAAGAACTTGAAAAGTTCATAAAGGCTATGTATTATAAAAATCAGTTCCTTTACTAGTAAGGCCACATCTTAATAAAAAATTTTAGGTTTCTTTTTCAATTACTATTTTAAAATTTGAGAATAAACAAATGGGACCTAATGAAACTTACAAGCTTCTGCAGAGCAAAGGAAACCAGAAGTAAAACAAGAAAACCTACGGAATGGGAGAAAATTTTTGCAAGTGAAACCTACAAAGGCTTGATCTCCAGAATATATAAGCAGCTCATACGACTCAATAAGAAA